TAACTGTGTGCATACATTTATTATTTACATATATATACATATATAACTTATAATGCTCTTAACAATCTGAGGTAAATTTTGTAAATCGAGTTAGAGTTAGGAACATTTTGTTTACATCGGATTACTATATCACATATTAGAGTATATAGAGTTGTCATGGACATATTCTATTATTCAAATATCAGCCATAGACATGGATCTTCATCAGATCTATGATCGCAAAACTAGTTTCTTCTATTCCAAAATGTCCTGCTGCAGCTGCAGTCCAGCACATAGCTTAAGCTGATCCATAGATACATACATACATATGTATATTTGTGTAGTCAATTGCTAGATGCTGAGCGATCTATACTTAGCTCCGTTTGGTTTGTGCTATTTTCGTGTCACGCGCTCATCTCCAATTGGAATGCAAAAGCAGACGAAATTTCACACACAAATGGAATTCAAATCAACTGCATTTTAATTGCGCAATTGTTGCTGTTGCTGTTGCTGCTGCTGCTGCTGTTGGTGCAACTGTTGCTGCTGCTGTCAGCGACAAATTTAGCGCATTCAAGGTTTGCGTTTAGCGATTTCGCTGTGAATCACTTAAAATAAATTAAAATCAATTTTTGTGCATTTTTCATGCGTGATATATATATTGAGCAATACTGTATATATGTATGCATGTGTGTGCGTGTGCGTGTGCTGCTGCTGCTGGCTGGCTGGCATCCTTTTATGGCACTTGAGGCAGCAACATGTGCCCCATTCTTCGACATCGATTTCGATTTCAACTTCGATTTCAACTTCGACTTCGACTTCGAGTTGGTTGCCTACGCGCTGACATCATCGCAGCAGCACGCCCCCGCACCCCATACACCGCCTACAATATGGCCTTCGCCATCTGTAACTTGAAGCCTGCGCAAGGACAGCTAGCAACCTTGGCAGCAGCAGCAGCAGCAGCAGCAACTGTTGCTGCTGTCAGCACTTTCACTCAGATCAGCAGCAACAGTTGCTGTGGTGCTAGCTGCAGCTGTTGCTGCTCCTTTCAGCTGCTTTGCTATTAGTTTACCGCCTGCCACGCCCACTCGCATCGCAGCAGTCCTAATGTCGCCTGCAGCAGCAACTGTTGCTGCTGTTCGCCTTGTGTCCATTGCATGTTGTTCAAAATGTTTTCCTAGAATTTTGCAGCATTTCATTCGATTTCATTTGATTGACACTGAATGTTGACGTTGACATTCAACACACACACACATGCACACACACATGCACGCACGCACAGTGCCATTGGCTGCAATTCAGAGACTCATCTACTGGTTTTGTGCATATCCAGTCATGTGGTTTTGGCCAAAAGTGCACAACCCACTGACCATGTGGCTCCACTTGCAGCATTTGCGCTTCGTCTCATTTTTGTTTTTGTTTTTTTTTTTTTTTTT